CCGCACCCCGATGCAAGCCGAACGCCGCACCCCACCCCCAGCACACACACGCACACACACCCTTCATTCAAATGTTTACACGCGCGCACACACACACACACACACACACACACGACAAGATGGTGGATTTTTGATTGGGTGGGTTATTGGGGGGGAGGGGCTTGCTTTTGAAATGCACGCATTTTCACTTTCCCAAAACACAAAGGTACATTTTTTAAAATGTCATATATTGCAACATATTGATGCATTTGTCATACGACGTTTCTACTTAAATTATTAAGCACTTACAGGTGAGAGGTAATAACTATATGTGAGGGCAAAATTTATTTTAGATATGAAGGAGGAGGGTGAGATGCTGTCTGCATTTCAGGATGACTGCCTGCGTTCTTACAAAAATAAGCAAAACGAATAAAATGGGGGCTGTGAATCGATATTTCAGTTTCCAGGGGGAAGTGCATGTATCACGAAATGATTATGGACTTCAATGAAGAATGTCATCAATTATGTAAATATGTATTTCCTTTTACTACAAAGTGTAATTTTGTGCCAGTGACATGGAGTCTGAATAGTTATGTGTTCCTTTTTTTTTTCCTGAAAAGATTTATTAAACTTTATAGTTTATCCGGGTATGTTGGATGCTTTGACAATAAATGACTATTTTCTTCAAAGCAATCCCTTGGAAATTGTTTTAAAATATTTTGGGTAACTAAATAAATGCCCCACTTACATCAATTTAAGCAAATTTAAAGCCTCCACAGTTGAAAGAAGGTTTGATGATCATTTGAAAAACCTTTAGCTAGAACATGTTAGGTTTCTGGATCAAAGGACACTATTTCGACAAGGATGCTTGACATGAAGGTAACTTGTCACTGATATGTCAACGCAGTTCTCAGCAGTGGAGTAATTGGCATCTTCATAAAGGGCCAGAGACAAATGGAAATGTTCAAGCCTGGACCATGGAGACCAAATGAAAGTGCACTTAAAGTTCTACCAATGATGCTTGCATGAAAGAGTATCTCCCAGCCCAAGACCTTTCACCAGTGGGTCATTTTCCATTAGGAGTTCCTGTGGAGTGCTTTAGAAATCCTGTTTAAATGATCAGGATTCCTGTGATGGTCTGTGATTGTAGGGCCCAGCTTCCTTTCCAAAGGCTCTGAAAAAACTAATTTGGAGAAATTACAATACAGACGAATTCAACAGATAACTTTCTTTTTTCTCCCACCCTCCTGGTGTTCACAAGTTCCTTTGTACACTTCATATACTGACAATGCTTCCTAGTTAAATGGAACATATGATGTGGCTGTGTGTGCATGGTCATCTTCACAGACACCCTGTGGATGAACTAGACAGAATTACTGTAGGAGTACTCATTTATTATAGGAAGTATACACTCCCATTGCTTCTTCCTTCATAGCCTTCCTTCCTTCACCTATCTCAGCAAAAGGACACTTGTAATGACTTTTTCTAAAAGGGTTTTTAATTTTTCACTGTATTAGAGCAATGACAGAGTGAATTTTGATTAAATCAGGGTAGGACACCAGCACCCATATAGCACCCATATAGCATGTGATTGTAATTAGTAAGAAAGCAGATTGGCTCTCTTGGATCATCTGGGCACTTTTGGGGGAGGGGCACCATTTCTTTGAGGCCTGGTTTCAGTTTTCCTAGCTTGGATGATCCCAGAAATGCATCCTTAATAAAGTATGATGAGAAGAAGAGTCCAAAATGCCAGGTCTTGGCCCAGACCTTATTCCAGCTCTCTCCTGTAACTACATTTTTTCTCAGACGAGAGTTTCCTGCTATTCATGACTAGCAGACGTGTGGGACTCAATGTTACTTATTGGGGTAATTTGACTTCCCTGGATTTTGCCTCCCGCTGTAAAATGGATGAGGTAGTTTCTGTTCTCTCTCAAGCACTATAAGCACTGAGGAGAGAAGGGAATTATTCTTCTAGCGAGTTGATTGGGTTTTAATTAAATGTCAAGAGGAGGGGGTAGGGAGTAGGGCTGATCTAAAGAGAAGGCTGGGATGTGGGGATGTGTTGTGAAGAAAATTTCATGGGAAGAAAATAGAAAAACATTGGGAGACCCACCGAAGAACCGTATCTCAAAGCATCCTCAAATCATAATACCTGAAAGACAGATGAAATCACCCATGTTTGAGATGCTAGTGAATGCATTGCTAGAGCAAAAGTATCTAAAAACCAGCAAACTAACAACCAAGGCGATCCTATGGGCCTAACTTTCCAAGAAACTTGAATGCCTCTTCCCTTCTATCCCAGTCCTTCCAAAGTCTTCTCTGCAATTCCAGTCATTGCTTGTTGGGAATCCATACAGGAAGATCTACCCAAAAAGTCAGCAAATCCTGTTTGTTTTTTAAAGGATTTCTTCATAGTCTGAAGTCAGGTTTTCGAAGGATACATGTAGACACTCGTTTAACCTCCCCCGTTTTCTTTGGCTGTCAGCTGAATCATCCAGCCAGAAAGAAAGCCTAGCATGGGGCGGATGGGCTGCCTAGGCACTCGAAGTAGGTAGGATCATGGTGCACTTTAGGACCCAACCGGCAGCCGTGCGGATCAATCTGCCTTCAAGACCTCCTTAGCCAAAAGGTGTGTCCAAACCTAGTGTTGCCGTCAGTCCCAAACAAACTCAGAAACATTATACACGAATTGATGTCTCTTCAAGCGTTCAGAGTTAATCCAGCCCTCTCCTGTATCTACGCTTTTCTCAGAGGAGAGTTTCTGGAGTTCCAGAACCATCTGCTGGGCTGATTTTAATGAAAAGGAAAACAAACAAACAAACACACCTACTAGTCCAGAGGATTCCTACTCACAGAACTACTCCACAGGGTTTCCGGGATGGAACTCTTTAGGGAAGTCCGCTACTTCATCTTTCTCCTGCAGAGAACCTAGTGACTTCTATGGGTTCGAATTACCCATCTTGTCTTCAGCCGCGCGATGCTTAACCTACTGCGTCACCAGAGCCGCTTCAAAAGCAGGTGCCGGTTTGCGCAGGGCTGTGGCCGAGGCCTTGTAGTCACAGGGACCGGCTGATCCTGCCAAGGCCAGGCAGGTGGCTGAAAGCTCCCAGCACAAGACTTGAAGAGGGAGGCCAAGGAAGAGCGCACAGGTTGCTGCCCAAGGATTTGCTTTGTCCCAACCAGCAGCAGGACGTCTGGGAGCTGACCCGGAGGGAGCCTAGAGAAGGCCGTCTCCGTGCGTGTCCCTGGATTAGATTCCAGACTGCTGCGAATCCCGCGTCTGTCGACGGGGCGATGCTTCCAGGCTGTTTCCGGAGTCAAGAGTCTGCCTCCCGGCGGGCGAGCCTGGGGAGGCACTCCGTAAGCGTCTGCCGGCGTCCGCGAGGGCCGGACAGACACCGGACCCTCCGGGGTAGTGCCAAGGTCCCGGGGCTCAGCGTTCCCCGACGTCTGCAGACGCGCGTGCGACAGCGGCAGCCTCTCCTCTCGGGGGCAAGGTGCCAGCTTCGATGCGCTGCCCGGCGGCCGGCGGTGGGCGAGGAAAGGCGCCCAAATGTCTCTCCCGGTTCCTCATCTCCGAATCCACCTCATCCACCTCTCACCTTCCTGAATCGAGTCCCAGGTCCTCGCTCACGCTTAACGTTTTCCCTCCGAGCAAGCAATCTCCTTAGGCAGCTCTAAGCAGAGAAAGAGATGCTGCCTGGCAGGGGACCTGGAACCCTTGGGCCCAGCCGCCGGGATGCCCAGGGCCCAAGCCCCCTCCTCCCGCTCCCCAGCAGTCACCTCTCGGCATCTCCCCAGCTCCTGCCTCCAGGAGGGATTTCCTTTGCCGGCCGGGAGGTGCTGTCAGCGGGGGCGGGGGAGAGGTTCTTCCACACAGGCACCCAGGGGTGGGGGCGCTTGGGCAGACCCTGGAGAACTCCAGTCCGCGGTCGACTTCAGCGCTAGGGAGTGCTGGAGGTGCGCTGTCCCCTCCTATAGGCGAAGCGTGGCTAGCAAGGGTCTTCTGGAGGAGTTTTAGGCTCTTCCTCTCTTCTCCCTTTGCCCAATCCCACTTTCTGTCTCCTCTGGTGTCTCAGGTTCCCTTCCCTTGACCCGACCCTTTAGTGTCTTAAGCACTTCCGGGGCTTTGCGTTTCTTTCTGAAATTGTATCATCTCCCCACTCGCCCTTGGTCCATTGGGAACACCTAGTACTTCCTCATTGTAATAGGGTCACAGCTCCAAACCAGGGGGGAACTACCGCTGTAGAGGGCTGTCAATTTACTGGGTACTGAGGAGTATCTTTACACACACACACACACTTTACTGGGTACTGAGGAGTATCTTTACACACACACTGTAGCTTACACACAAACACACTGTAGCACGCACACACACACACACACACACACACACACACACACACACACTCACACAGTAGCTTCCAGAAAGGGAGAGAAAGCATCTGCCTGCTTTTGACTAGACATACCTTTGGCTTAGAATAGTTCTGTCTTTCCTGGAAGATGACAGACTAGCTCTAAATGGCATGGACATTTTTACCTGTCCCTGAGCTAAACGGGATGGGATGAGACCCTGAATTCACTCCTGCCCTCCTCCAGTGCATATTGCTTGCGGGGAGAGCTGCAAGTCCAGAATGTGGGGGCTGATAGACGTAGGCCAGGCTGCAGAGCCATGGTGCAGGGAAGCTCTCCGCCTCTGCTTTACAGATCCTATTTGAATGGAAAACCTGGCTTTTCCTACTTTTACTTGGAAATTTAGAACTATTTGGAAGCATGCCTATTAGTGGGTGAAGAAACTGAAGGAAGCATTCCTCTCTTTCAAAAATAATTTTGTCTTTGTTCTTTAATTTATAGAGCTGGAGGACCGGTACAGGTCTATCAGAATGGTTAAGTCAGTCATGCTAAGGATTTCCTGATCCCCTTTCCAGTGTATTTATGTATATGTGTGCTGGGAAATACATGAATGCATGTGTTACATGTTTAAAAAATGTAAAACTTCACTCTCATAGAGTCAATGTTGGCTCCCAGGGGCCCTGTAGGACAGAGTAGAACTGCCTCTGTGGGTTTCTGAGACTGTAAATCTTTGCAGACCTAGAAAGCTTCATCTTCCTCCCAGGAGTGGCTGATGGTTTTGAACTGCTGACCTTGGATTAGCAGCCCATCCTACATCAGAATTGATGCAAACGTGTGTATGCGGACGCAAACGGACAGACCTACATATTCACATATATGAACATGCACATTTTCTTTCAGAATAGTCACATGTAGTACAGATTTTCAGTTTCTAGGTTTCTACATATGTTGCTTCCCACTTTCTAGAATGTTCCTCTGTGCCTTGGAAAATTCATACTCATCCTTCAAGACCAAACCCCAGGTTACCACTACCAGGCAATATTCTCCAACTGGTCTAGGGAAACTGAGCTACCCCTTGCTTGAGCTCCCATGCATGCAATTCTATTTTGGCATTTTCCACAACAGAAGAAAAGAACATGTCTGGCTGCGCCACCCTATCCTGAGCTCTGATAGGCCAGGATTACGTTTGAGCTATTGATGTCCCTTTTCAGGGACCCAGAATGGGGGACAGCATTGTGGAGTCATTAGGAAGCATGGGTTTAGGGCTCAGCTAGACCTGGCTTTAAATCCAAATTTTTCAGTACCTATGGAATCTAGGACAGATCACTTCATCCTTCAGGATCTCAGTTATATGAAGCTGAGAGAGAACATTTATAAATCACTTAGCCCAGTGCCTGAAACATAGTAAACTGTCAATGAACAAGGTTTAAAAATATAATAAAAGAACACTCACGTATATGCAGACCACTACAAAGCATGGTTCTAAGCATGTTTTAAATGTTAATTTGGTTAAATTATTACAACTTACCCAACAGGCTGGTTACCAACGCACACTCCACCAAGTTTAGGATTGTTGGGAAGAGACCGTGTGGGGAACAGCATCTGTTGGTACAGATGAAATTTCTATAGAAGTCTTTCATACGGCTGTACCTGACCCATTTCTCTGCTGGATAAAGAGATATGCTTTAGCTTCAACCTATCTTCTTCAAGGCCGTCAGTCAGCATGCTCTAGGACCACTGTCAGTAGTCTACTAGGACTTGAATTCCTTTGATGATCTTTGCTTGGTTTTTTTTGTTTGTTTGTATGGTTTTTAACTCAGGAGTATTAGCTAATGTAGGGGATTGAATGTATTTACTCAGTATTTCTCTCTCATGTTCCAAGCTTTCAGGAGGGTCATAGATTCAAGAAATCAATAGTTAAGAAATAAAATCAAGGAAGTCTGTATGTCGAAGCATGTATATGTCATTTAAATTACTTTGCTGCAATAAAAACAACACCAAAAACCCAAATTCATTGCCATTGAGTCTATTTCAACTCATATTGACCCGATAGGGCAGGGTAGAGCTGCCCCTGTGAGTTTCTGAGACCATCTCTCTCCCTCTCTCTC